CTCCTCCTCCTCCTCCTCCTCCTCCTCCTCCTCCTCCTCCTCCTTCCCCCTCTCCTCGTCCTCCTCCTATCTACCTGCGCGATGGGCATGGGGGCCCCTCGAAGCAGCGGCGCGGCTCGCGGAGGCTCGAGGGCCTGACGGCGGGAGGAGCACGAGGGCTTCGGCGGGGGGGGGGGCCCTTCCGCGGGCCCCGCGCAGGCCCGTGGCCGAGGTCGGCGCGCCCCGCGCAGGCCCTGCCCTCGTCCATCCTCCCTCCTCTTCGGGGGGTGGGCGGAGATCTGCTTCCAACGCCTTCCTTGAGGTTCCTGCACACTTTCTTCCAACCGACGTCCGAGGCTCGAGTTCGCCGGAGCTCGGGTCCGCCGACGCTTTTGGACGAGCGCGTCTTCGATGTTGGCCGTTCGGTCTTCGTTTGTGTTGCGTTTTTGCGGCGGGACTTCGCGTCAAAGTTCAGTTTGGTCTCGTCATTTTACGGCCCCGTCAGGCCAACCCGAGTCTTTCGTCTCCACGAACTGAGCGGGGAGGAGGAGCAGTTAGCGAGGTGGCAGGAGGCAGGAGGGAGGCAGGAGGGAGGATGGCGACGGAGCTGCTCGTCCTGGGGAGCCCTCGTCGCCACGGCTGCATCCTCCTCGAAAGTCTGGACAGGACGCACCGCGGGAGTGCCAGTATTGGTACCTCTTGGCTCCCCCAGGGGAGGTGGAGGGTAAGGAGGATTACGAGGACGGTTGGGAGGAAGGACGCTTGCGAAGGAAAAGGAGGAGGCAGAGAGGATGATGATGATAAGGAACAGTTGAAGGAGCGACAATAAGGAAAACGAGGAGGAGGATACTGGTGCTGCTGATGATGATAGTGATGGTGATGGTGATGGTGATGGTGATTGTGATGATGCTGATGCTGATGCTGATGCGGATTGTGATGCTGATGTTGACGCTGATGATGATGGTGATGATGACGGAAAGAAAAGTGTGATGGTGAAGGTGGTGATAATGATCGTGATGGTGGAGATGATGATCATGGTGGTAGCGATGATGACGACGATGGTGATGATGATGCTGCTGATGATGATGCTGCTGATGATGGTGATGATGATGACGGTGGTGTTGATGATCACTGTGATGCTGATGCTGATGGTGATGCTTGTGCCAGTGATGAAGTTGGTGATGAAGTTGGTGATGCCACTTGTGATGATGATAATGACGCCGACGATTGCGATACTTGCGATAATGATGACGACGATGGTAATGCTGCTGCTGATGATGGCGATGATGCTGCTGGTGATGATGAGCATGCTGATGGTGTTGATGATGATGATGGTGGTGGTGATGGTATGATGATGCCGATGATGATGGTGAGGAGTGTGATGATGATGGTGATGGTGATGACGACTCTGAAGATGTTGATGATGATGAGTATGACGCTGGTGATAAGGATGATGGTGGTTGTGATGACGATGACAATGATGATGATGATGGTGATGATGGTGATGATGCTTATGATTGTGATGACCTGAACTATAGATGATGGTGATTATGCTGGTGATGATGGTGGTGTTGATGATTTTGATGATGCTGATGAGTACGATGATGATGATGGTGACGGCGATGCTGATGACGCTGATGATGAGGATGGTGATGATGATGATGGTGATGTTGATGATGGTGATGATGATGGTGATTACGATGCGGCTGATGATGCTGGTGATGATGTTGTTATTGGAGATGATGATGGTGACGGTGATGGTGATGGTGATGCTGGTGAAGATGATCATGATGCTGCTGATGAAGATGATGGTGATGATGATAATGCCCTCGTGCTCTCTCAATGGGCGTCTTGGGTTGCGCGCATCGGGCCTCGTATGTGTGACGTTGGTTGCGAGCATGTCCCTCGTCGGCTGCGCAAGGCTCGTGGCCTTGGTGCGGTGGACCGCCCTGTGCCTAGCATAGTGGTGGAGCCCCCGCCGCCAGTCACGCCGCGCAGCCTGTCGAGAGCCGACCTTGCCTCTGTGCGCGTGCAGCTTGCGGACGAGAGATCGCATGTCATGCACCCCTCTGCCGTCATAGGGGACGGGGGGGCGGAGGCTGTGGTGTGCTGTGTGTGTGGTGTGCGGGTTGGGAGGGGTCAAGATCTCTGCGAACCTGTCGCAGGGCTGTCGAGGCCCCCCTGCATCAGGCACGTGGGGTGCTCGAGTCCTCGCCGGCCTCACGCGTGCTCCCGCACGCTTCCAGGTCTATCGCGCGTGGCGGTATTTAGAGGATCCGCTGCGCACTGCTTCCTTGATCCGCGCGGGAGTGGTGCAGCCGCTCTAGGGCCGCGCTGCGCCATGCCCCGCACGGCGTTCCTGTCTGCCAGCCTGCTGTGCGCTGGCCATGCCTTTCTTTTCTGGGCACTGCTCGGGTGGCGCCACCCGCCTCTGGCCGTGGCCATGCGGTGGCGTAAGTGGCAGGTGGCGCGGACAACCTTGTTCGCGTTCAGGCTGAGTCGAAGAAGAGGGAGACAACATCAGGAAGGAAGAGGATGAGGAGGAGGGCGATCTACTCTTCCAGAGGCCTTCTGGCCTTCCTGGCTTCCCAGAACAGGAGAGGTCGCAGCGCATGCCGCGGAGATCGCGCACCTCGAGAAACTCATCGCCGAGAACAAGGAGTCGCAGCGCGAGGCGACGGAGGTTCGCGCCAACGAGAACGCCGACTTCGAGAAGGAAAGGAGGGGGAGGAGGAGGAGGCGGAGGAGGAGGAGGAGGAGGAGGAAGAAGTAAGCGGGGAGGGGGAACAGGAGGTGAGGAGGATGAGGAGGAGGGGGAGGAGGAGGAGGAGGAGGAGGAGGAGGAGGAGGAGGAGGAGGAGGAAGAAGTGGAGGGAGGACGAGGAGGAGGAGGAGGGAGGATCAGGAAGAGGAATTTGTGGAGAAGGAAGATTGCGTCGGGGGGCCGGGGGGAAAAGGGAAATGACGGGATGGTCGGGAAGAGGATGATGACGAGGAGCAGCGTGGGTTTGATGGGGAAGGGGGAGGAGAAGACCGAGTCCGAGCAGTGCATCGGGGCCCTCGAGGCGGCCATCAGCGTGCTCTCTGGAGCTGGCTCGGGCAAGAAGGGCTTCCTTGAGACCCTGCAGCAGGCTCGCGCGCTCAGCGTGGTGGACGGCGTCCGGGAGGCTCGCGGGACGGAGGGGCACCAAAACTCGGACGTCTGCGTCGGGCCTCCACGCGGGCGCCTCAAAGCGTTCAAGTCGGGTGCAGCGATGGGTGGGTTTGAGGGGGGAGGGGGTGCAGCCAAAACGCCTCGATCTTGGAACCACCCCCTCGATCGTGTGACCTCGACCCTCTATGGTCAGCTTCGACCTGATCGATTCGATTCGGTGTCGATCACGGCAAGCCCGATCCGATGCGATTCCGGTATTCCGACGATCTGGTGCGGGCCTGATGTTGGCGTGGTGCTATTGTTCATTCCGGGCGCATTTTTTGTTTGTTTGTTTCTTACGGAGTCCATGCGAGTCCACACAGCCAAGACGCTGAAACAAGGAACAGTTTGGGTTCGGAAGGGGCTCGATGTTCCTCAGGTCCTTTCATGGCTGTTCCGCTGGCCCTCCTTGTGCACCCAGGCTCTTCTGCTTCGTTCCTTACTCAGCGTTCCTTGTTCCAGCAGCCAGACTGTAGGCTCAGGGGGGAGCGCATCGACCCCCCTATCGCCACTTCATCACCGATCCTGATAGCCCCACCCCGTCCAGGACTGTGAGGTTTCGCTATCGGGGGCCTTTCGCCGATCTAACGGCGATGTATCGCCGATCCAGGTTCAGTGGTTCCTCCCCAGAGCTGGTTCACCCCCTCTCGATACCTCTCACGAAGCCTTCTCTGCTAGACCAGAAGAGCACAATAGACACCATAACCTCGCGCCGTCTCGCGCCATCAGACAACCTGGGCCAGTCCGCTCACGGATCCAACGCTCTCGGGATTTTTTGATTTGCGTGTCGCGCCGCCCGTTCTGGCCCACCGCGCGTCGGCGCGACACGTATCCACGTCCTGGTCCCCGAGCGTCACGCCATCCGCTCGCAGGGCGTAGTGTGTCGCTGGGGCCGCCGCCGCGACACGCTGAGCAAAGGTTCTTCATGGTTATAATCCAGTACGCCCTATGCGCAGCATGCTCCCCCATCCCCGCCCCATCGGCGCTGCCCTCCGTCACGCGCGCCAGGGAAGTGTGCGGGGAGGAGATCTGGCGCAGGCGGCGAGGTTCCCGCGGATCTGGTCTTGTGTGCATGCGAGGGTGTGTGTGTGTGTGTTTGTGCGTATGCGTGCCTACTCATCCGGCTTGGAGTGGCTACAGCCCTTCGACGATCCGGATTGGAGTGGTTCCAGCCTGCGACGCTCAAAAGTTTGTGTGTGTGCGTTGCCGTCTCCACCCCAGGGCTCCACTTGGCTTCCTGTCCGCACCTTTCCGCTCGTTGCGCGGCACCGGCTGCCTTGTTGCGGCGCGCCTCGCTGGCGCTGTCTGATTCATGTGCCTGGGTTGCCCAGGGCCTCGTCTTCTTGCTGCCTCGTTCTTCTTCGGGCCGCTGTCTTGGTTCGCCACTGCGTCTCAGCCTTGTCGACTGCGCTGCGCGCTGGGCTGATCGCCGTCTCCCTGGTCTCCCCGTCTCCCCGTCACCCCTTCCTGGCTGCTCCCCTCGCGTCTGCCCCCTCCCCTGGGAGTGATGATGCCGATCCCTTACGGCCCTATGGGCGGATCCACCAAATCCACGCCGCGTCACCTGGGCCGGCCTCGCGCGTCTCTTTACCCGATTTTCAATGCCGCGCCTCTGCGCGCGTGGCCGCGACGCCCCAAACGTGTGTGTGTGTGTGTGTGTGTGCGTGTGTGTGTGCGTGTGTGTGCGTCGGCCGTCGCCGGCCGCACTGCCTGCGCGTCCGCCGCTTGTTTGCTGCCCCCGGCACAGTCGGACCAGGGTGCAAGATTGAGGTCGGCTCGGGGACGGTACCCTGATCTTCTTCGTGTTTGTTGGACGTGATCGTGCATCCTGGGGGGGTACCCTTGGATGTCCTTTGCGTTTTGGCTGGCTGAAGGTCTCATGTTTTTGAAGGATGTTCTTCTGGCCTAGGTCCAACTGTATGCTTTGACTCCTCCTCTTGGCTCGCTGCCCTTGCAGCCTGTCCGTCCCCGCGCCACTCTTGTCGGCCTCGGCCTGCCACTGGTCGGTTGCGCCACATGTGAACTCTAACCCCTCCCCCCTTCGAAATCGTAGGTGGGGGTAGGGTTCACATGTGGCCGCCTGACTGGTGTGCGTGTGTGCGTGTGCGTGTGCGTGTGCGTGCGCGTGTTCGTGTGCGTGTGCGTGTGCGTGTGCGTGTGCGTGTGTGTGTGTGTGTGCGTGTGTGTGTGTGTGTGTGTGTGTGTCTCATTGTTCCTCGGCCACCTGCACCCTGCACGGCTCTCCCCGCCCCCCCCTTGTCGTCTCCCTTCGCCCCGCCCTCTCGTGCCCCCTCGCGACTGCTCCCTCTCGAACTGGTCCCTTATGGCCCTATGGGTGCGTGTGTGTGTGTACGTATGTGCGTGTGTGGTGCGTGTGTGTGTGTGTTTGTGTGTGTGCGGGTCTGTGTGTGTGCGTGTGCGTGTGCGTGTGCGTGTGCGTGTGCGTGTGCGTGCGTGCGTGTGCGTGTGCGTGTGCGTGTGCGTGTGCGTGTGCGTGTGCGTGTGCGTGTGCGTGTGCGTGTGCGTGTGCGTGTGCGTGTGCGTGTGCGTGTGCGTGCGCGTGTGCGTGCGCGTGTGCGTGCGCGTGTGCGTGTGCGTGTGCGTGTGCGTGCACGTGCGCGTGCGCGTGTGCGCGTGTGCGCGTGTGTGCGTGTGCACGTATGCGCGTGTGCGCGTGTGCGCGTGTGTGCGTGTGTGCGTGTGCGTGTGTGCGTGTCTGTGTGCGTGTCTGTGTGCGTGTCTGTGTGCGTGTGCGTGTCTGTGTGCGTGTCTGTGTGCGTGTTTGTGTGCGTGTCTTTGTGCGTGTCTGTGTGCGTGTCTGTGTGCGTGTTTGTGTGCGTGTCTTTGCGCGTGTCTGTGCGCGTGTCTGTGTGCGTGTCTGTGTGCGTGTCTGTGTGCGTGTCTGTGTGCGTGTGCGTGTGCGTGTGCGTGTGCGTGTGCGTGTGCGTGTCTGTGTGTGTGTGTCTGTTCGTGCGTGCGTGCGTGCGTGCGTGCGTGCGAGCGTGTGTGTTTGTGCGTGTGTGTGTGTGTGTGAGTGTGTGTGTGTGCGCGTGCATTCCTGCGCCTGGCTCGGCCGCCTTCACTCGGCGCCGTTCTTGCGGCGGCCCCCCGCTCCGCATCCGCCTCCCTCCTCTGGAAGCGCTCGGTGGTTTTACCTTTGTTTTCTCCGGTTTTCCTGCATCGCTTGGTTTTTCAGGCTCGGAGTCTCTTTCGCGTGTTTTCTGGCCGCCTGATTCTGGGCATCTTCATAAGGAAGCCGATCAGAGGTATACATGCGTCCCGTTACCTTGCGCCCGTAGTTTGGATTTAGCCACGCGTCGGAGGGAAAAAGTGTTTATGTTTGTGTGCGTGTGTTCTGTTTGCTCCCCGGTGGTTCCGCGTACACCCAATTGTCGGCCTCCGGCACTCGAGCTTCCACGTCCCAGCAGCATTTCCCATGTTGTCTCATGAGGGTGCTGTCCTGGTCGGACCGACGTCGCGAGCGTGTCTTGCTGTCTCCCTGTCCAAAAGGTGCTCCGGAAGGCCAGCTACTCGGCACAGGTCCCGGAGAAGGACCTCGACTTCGCGAGGGCATTCTTCGGCAAGTCCGGGCAGTTTATGGTCCTGCGTTGGGGTGTGGGGCGTCGTTACGTCCACAAGTGTGATCGGCGTTGCCCCTTCACCCCCCATCCTCTGCCAGGAACGGCGTCGTCGTCGAACGTCGGATGAAGCGTCTCGCTGTTCTCGCACATTGGGGGCGGTCTGGGTGGCGCAGACAACAACTTCACTACCAGCCGTCCCGAACCCGCAGGGGGAAAGAAGAGAGCTGGGCGGCGAGGTGAATACATCTGGAAATCATTACCTGCGGATGCGGTCATGAACGTTGGCTTAGCGTATCGCGCTGCCGGTTCTGGCCTACCACGCTTCGGCGCGAGACGCTATCCATGTCCCAGTCCCCGAGCGTCAATGTCCCGAGCCGTCCCCAGCCTCCGGACACGCAGTGCAGAGCGACACTCTACCCGCTTGCAGGGCACAGCGTGCCGCCAGGACCGCAGCCGCGACACGCTAAGCCACAGTTCCCGACCCTGTGCCTCACTTCAAGCGCCTGCACCCAACGCCTGCGGGGCACGGCGAGGGAGGAGCGGGGAGGTCGGGAGGATGGGATCCGAACCCGTGGGCGCAGCGAGAGCCCCCGACGAGGTCCAGCACGGCGGGGTGTCAGCCGCGCAGACCGGCAGCATTCACAATCCGTTCGGCGATTACGCCCCGCAGTCGGACCGCATCGTGGGCATCCTGAAGGTTGGAGCTGGCTGGGGGACAGGTGATCCACCACTCGTTCTTGCAGCAGGGGGGGGGAGAAAGGGCCCCCTTGTCGCCATGGAAGGACGCGGCTCAAAAAATGTCGGGTTCGACCCCGGGAGGCGTCCAGGGACCGATTTTGAGCAGAGTTGCCCGCACCCCCCCTCTTGACTGAAAAACCTTGGGCTTCTCCAGCTCAAACACCCCGGCCGCCTCCAACCTGAAGGGCCTGTACGACACCTTCACCCAGAGCCTCGAGAAGGGCAACGTGGAGGAGGCGGACGCCCAGAAGGCGTTCGAGGAGTTCATGGCCACCAAGAAGGCCGAGCTGAAGACGCTGGAGGGTACCAAGGAGCAGCAGGAGCTTTCCAAGGCCGAGAAGGCGAAGAAGATGGCGGAGAGCAAGCTTCTGCGCGCAGACACCCAGGCGCAGCTGAAGGCCGACGAGGAGTTCTTTGCGACCACCCAGGAAGAGAGGGAGCCAGAACAACACACCCACACACACAAAGAAACAACAATGTTTGGCGTCGCGGCCAAACGCGCGGCGGCGCGGCGTAGGTAGTCAAGCGGGAGAAGGCGCGCGGTCGGGCCAGATCACGCGGCGTGGGGGCCAGGCATCCACCCATGGGGGAGCCCACTGGGCCACTTGCAGTGGGCCGCGAGGGGGAGGGGGAGGGGGAGAATGGCGGCAAGCGAAGGTTCTCAGCGCAAGAAGCAAGCACCTGGGGAGCACACGACGATGACACACACCTACAAACTCGGAGGTCCGCGCGGACTCCTCGGATCGGCGTTGTGGCCCCCTTGGCGGCGCCTCCGGCGCCGCCCCCGGCGGGCTTCGCGCGCCGGGGAGAGGGGGGTCCAGCGCCGATCCGAGAGATCCGCGCGGACCTCCAGGTTTTTCTGCTCGTGTGTCAGGGGGGGAAAAACACACAGACCCAATGAATCGTCGCTTCCCCGAAGCTCTGGGAAGATGTGGGAAGTGGGGGGGGAGACAAAGACTTGGAACATATGGGAACAGATGGGGGATTCTTGCGATTCCTGTGTACTTCTCTTTGTGTGCCCCGGGGCCCCCTCCCATGCTCCCCGAAGAGAGGCGCGGCGCGAAAGCGCAGCGGCCCTCCGACGGCGCGCGAGAGCGCCCGCGCCTCGCCGGCGGCCCGCTCGCGCAGGCCGCCCCCCCTGCCGTGGCCCCGCCCAGGGCGTGCGGCCGGGGAAGCTCCGCGTGCCGCCTCGCCGCCGGGCCGCGGACGCCTTGGCGCTCGCGTGGGCTTGCCCTCCTCGGTCCTCCTCCTCGATCCTCGAGTCGAGGTGCACGTTCGAGAGGACGGCTGGCCTTTTCGGCGGCCGACGCACGGGCGGCGCACGGGCGACGCATGCGCGACGCACCGCTTGTCGCGAAGGGGGGGGGGGGGTCAGCACGCCGGTCGTCTTACTGGGCCTTAACATCCTCGACCCTCGAGCACACAAAAGGAAACACGCAGGCTCCTGGACGTCCGCGGGGCGCCCTCCCCGCCGGCGCCGGGGCCCCTAGTTATCCGAGCACCCGCCCTCCCTGCTCGCCAGTGGGGGGGGGGGAGGGCCTGGTGGTGCAGGAGCAGGCGCCCATTTCACGGTTCACGCGTGAGTTCCACGACGCGTGCTGGCCCAGTATCCTGAGCGCGTTCGGCCCCCTTAAGCGTGAGCGCCAGACGCTGGCCCAGACTTGTCCTCCGAAGCTTTCATGGTCATATCTCCGGCTTGATGCGCGGAGGAGAGGAGGAGGGGAGGGGAGGGCGTGTGAGTGAGGAGGGGAGGGGAGGACAGGGGAGGAGAGGAGAGAGGGGAGGAGAGGAGGAGAGGAGGAGGGGAGGGGAGGGGAGGAGAGGAGGAGGGGATGGGGAGGAGGACGGGGGGGGAGGGGGGGGGGCTGGCGCCCGCGGCGGAGAGCCCGCCCGCGATCGTCCGAGACTGCCCCCGTGCTCTGAGGGCAGGCTCGCGCCGTGCCGGCGCGGCAGCGACCTCGGCGCGGGCGCTCGAGGGTTGGAGCGCCGCCGGCGGCCCGGAGCCGCCGGGCATCGAAGGATCTACGCCGTCGGAAGCGGCACGCTCCGGCTCGATCGCGCCTACGAAGCGAGGCCACCGAGCGGTGTGGGCGAGTTAGGGGACCACATGCGAACCCTACCCCTACCCCCCTCTGAAGTCGTGGGGGGTAGGGGTAGGGTTCGCATGTGGCCCCCTACGAGTGCCGCCCGAGCTTGTGCCTGGACTGTCACCGGCACGTGCAGCCAAACGTATCATCGTCATCATCATCATCGTCATCATCATCATCGTCATCATCATCCAAACCACCACCACCACCACCATCATCATCATCATCATCATCATCATCATCATCATCATCATCATCATCATCATCATCATCATCATCATCATCATCATCATCATCATCATCATCTGGTTGCGCACCGACAGCTCCCCCAAGCGGCCTCGGACTGTTCGGGGGTCGTGTTCAACACGACCCCAGCAGTCCCAGCTGGCCTCAACACTGTTGAGGCCAACTGGGACTACTCGGGTGGTCTGTTGAAGCCAGCCGCGACTACCTTGGTGAACTGTCCATGTGCTACCCGAAGTTTTACCAATAGGAAAGCCCCGAGCGCTCATGTTTAAACGATCCACGCAGTGACAAAACCAGCGCCGACGTCACCGCGACGTGACTTCTCGCGTGTGGCTTTCTGGCTCCCTGAGGAGGGGTGCAAGGACAAGGCGAAGGAGTGGGGCGAGCGGGTCAGGATGCGCACCCAGGAGCTCCAGGGCATCAACAAGGCCGCCGAGATCCTGAGCTCCCCGGAGGCGCTGGAGACGTTCTCGAACTCCTCCTCCATCCCAGGGCGGCGAAAGCCATCGGGGCACCGAGATTCGCCCTCCCCTCGGGCGGACGACATCCGGGGAGCAGTACATGTGGGGGCTCGAGTCAGGAGGGGAAAAAACACACAGACACAATTAATCGTCGATCCCCAGGAAAATATGCGAAAATATGGGAATTGGGGGGGAAGACAAAAACCGAGAAAATATGAGAAAATATGGGGAATAGTTTTATTTGTGTGTATTTATTTGTGTGTTCTGGGGCCCCTTTATCGAGGGCTGCAGGAAAGCCCCGAAGGGGTGCGAGGCCCAGAACACCTTGGAGACGCGAGCCAGTCCCGCCAGGGGAGACGTCGTCTTCTCCTTCTCGGCTCCTCGGGCGCCCTCAGTTTGCCGCCCTCGGGCCGTGGGGCCGTCGAGAGAAGATCCAGGACGACAGCCTCCTCCTCCTCCTCCTCCTCCTCCTCCTCCTCCTCCTCCTCCTCCTCCTCGTCCTCCTCCTCCCTCCTCCTCCCCCTCCTCCTCCTCCTCCTTCTCCTCCTCCTCCTCCTCCTCCTCCTCCTCCTCCTCCTCCTCCTCGGACAGGGGCCGATCGGAGGCCTGGAGGTTGGCACCAGCACCACATTCGGCGGCTGCATCCACCGAGACGAGATGGTCCCGACCTCGGTGATGGTGGTAATGTTAAGGCTCCCCAGGTGGCCGAGAGATTACCATCACCACCAGCGTTTCGGATCACCTTCAGCCAGTGGAGGCAAAGCCCCGAGTTGGTGGTGGTGCAATTCCCACGCCTCGAAGTCGAGAGGTCCAGTCGCCAGGGGACTCGACCAGAGCGAATCGTCGGAGGTTTAGGCCCCTTTCTCTTCGTCCCGGTTTCTCACTCCAGCGCTCCCCCTCCCCTCCACTGGGAGAGGGACAGAGCATGGTACGAACACACACTTTCGGATGGGCGTGCGGATTGCGTGGGCCGGGTGCGCCGGAGGCGCCGCCACGACGGCCGGCGCCAGCCCAGCAAGTCCGCGCGAAGTTCCGACAGCCGTATGTGTCTGCCATGTGCTGTTCCTCTTTTCAAGCAGTGGCGAAGCGCCCTGGCTCGCCTATAGCCCTACCAAACAATGTTCTAAGAACATGTTGTGTTTTCCACGAACTGTTCTTAGACACTTCTGGCGGAGTCTGTCTTGTTTGAACACATCGGGTTTATGTTCTAAAGACCTGTTTTTGTTGTTCGAACGTTTTTGGGCTCTAAGAACATTTCGTGGTAGGACTATAGGAATGCCGAGACGGTCGGTCCCTGCTCAATCTATGGGAGGTGGGGGCGGCAATCTCACGATCCCCATGGCTTCGGCTGCCCTGGCCATCGCTCTGGTGCAGCTCGCTACGCAGAGAAAGGCCGTGGGCCCGCATCGCGCCCTCTCCAGCAAGGCTCCAGGGGTGGCCCAACGTCAACCGAAATGCGTGCATCTCTAAGTCGAAGAAAAAGCGAACGGCATAATCATATTTTCTCGGAGGCCATGGCGGTTTTCTTGGATCGGAGTGGGGCTCCCCCGACGGCGCCTCCAGCGCCGCTACTGGCACGCTCTGGGGGTCCAGCGCCGATCCAAGAACTCTTCGCGGACCTGCGAGAGTTTATGCTTATTTATGCTACTGTTTCTCTACGTAGACTTCTCCGCAAAGGTATCACCAGAGCACTTCGTAGCCCTTCAGAGTCTCGCAAGGAAGTTCCACAGCACGTCCCTGGACAGGATCGTGGCGCAGGCGCGGGCGGGCGGGTACTTCGACAAGGTCATCGCCTCCGTGGATAGCATGATCGCCCTGCTGCGAAAGGAGGAGCAGATGGACATCGCCCACCGGGACCGTTGCCAGGGCGCAGAGAACAAGAACACGAACGACATGGAGGATTTGGACACAGCGATCGATAAGGCGTCGACCAGCATCGAGGCAATGGGGCACACCGAGAAGACTCTGCAGCAGGAGATCAGCGACCTCGCGATAGCGATTAATGACACCGAGAACGACATGCGTCAACGGCTTGCGATGAGGAATCAGGAGCGAAAGACACACGTGAAGTCTGTGAAGGATGACCAGAACGCACTCATCTTAGTGGAAAAAGCCATCGATGCGCTCACCGCCTTCTACGAGCGCAACAAGATCTCCATGTCCCTCATTGCCAAGCAGGAGCCCCGGGAGTACACTGTCGACGCCGACAAGGCCCCCGAGACCGTCTGGGACGCGGGCGGCGCCTCGTACACGGGGCGCAAGGGTGAGAACGAGGGCGTGGTGGCCATCCTGAAGATGATCTTGGAGGACATCCGGCACGAGATGGCCAGCGCTCGCGCGGAGGACGAGGAGAACCAGAAGGAGTATTTGAGGGAGAACGCGGCCATGACCAAGACGAGGGACGCGCAGCTCAACACCAAGATGGCCTCGGAGAAGGAGCTCACCGAACTGCAGGCGAAGATCGAGGACACGCAGGTGTACCACGACGGCAAGCAGGCGGACAAGGGCTCCGAGGAGGCGCTGAAGAGCGCCATCTACGCCGACTGCAGCTGGGTCGCCACCCACTTCGACTCTCGGGCCGAGGCCCGCAAGAAGGAGCTGGACGGGCTCCAGGCGGCGAAGGGCTACCTGGCCGGCGTGGCGGACGGGTCGGAGCTGGCGCCGTGAGGCCCCCCCGCGGCCTCGCGCTGCACCGCGCGCGCGCGCCCGGCTGACGCCGCCCGCGCCAGGCCGCGGGTCAGAGGAGGAAAAGGCACTGTACCGCTACCCCTCCCTCGTTGTCGCCTCTTTTTGGGACTCCTTGGAGGCCCTGTCGCCACCGCTGGACTCGCCTCGGGATTCTGGTCAGACCGCACCCTGGGAGAGGTCCAGGGAGCAGCGGTACACGCCAGTCGTTGGAGGTAGGTATTTTGGATCCCCAAATCCCAATATATTTGAGGCGCCTTCCTACTTCAATCATCGAGTGCTTTTCCCTCGTCCCTCCACTTCAGGGGGGCGGGCGGAAGCCGAGTCTACTCCCGACGCCTTCCTACCTCATGTTTCTGCCCACTTCTTCCGACCGCCTGGTATGGGTACTTTTTGGTGTCCCCAGCGGGCGCGCGCTGTCGCCGCGCTCGACGCCCGCGGGCAGGAAAACAGGGCCAAACCCGGCAGCTGCGCGGTACAGCCAGCTTGCCCTATCGGGGAGAGCGGCGGCGCGCTCTTGCCTGCGCTGCGCGACCGCCACCGTGAGCGGCACCCTGCCCCGCAGCCACTGGCCGCCGCCCCGGCCGTGACGACTGCGGGAGCGATGCAGCCGCCTCAGGTCGACTACGCGTAAGAGCGTAGGAATGACCCTTCGCCGGAGTGACCTGTGGTGCGGGCCCATTGGGTCCCCCGGTCACGGAACGCGATGCGTTAGTAGCGTCTTGCGCGCTTGTGTTTGGTCCCTGCGGCCCCCAAAAAGCCGCGCACCAAAGGTCACTCTTTCCCAGGTTCACTCTTGTAGTCGATCAGGGTCGGGGCAGCGAGGGCTGTAGGAAAGGGCTCCTTAGGGCCCCTACAGGGGCCCTTGAGGGCCACAGAGGGGGCCTTCAGGGCCCGAAAAGGGCACCTTTCGCTTCTCCCTCCATTTATCGCCCTCGCACTAAGCGACGCCCAAAGCGATGCAGCAGCTTCAGGGTCAGCCCACCCACGGCGGCGACCTACGGCGCCACTCACTGGGGGCCTATCGCCGATTTATCAGCGATGTATTGCCGATTCCAGCGCGACTGGTCCCCCTCTGAGCTGGTCCCCCCAGATCGTTGCCCGTCATAGCTATACTCCAGACTTCGTAATAAAAGGGAGGGGGTCTGGACCCTCCAAGACAAGCCATTTCAGACCCCCCCTCGTGGGAGAACCCTCCAAAACATCGTCCCCAGACCCCCCCAGGCCCTCCAAGACAGCCTGGAAGAGACCCCCCCCGGAATGAGACCCCCCTCCCTTTCTTACGAAGTCTGGAGTACTCTCCTGTGTGGGCGTCCAGTCCCTCCGCTCTTTCTCATGCGTGCCCCCCCCCCACCCGGGCAGGCCCTCGTCAGCCCCCTGTCCGAGGCCGGCGACCTCGGCGCGCAGGCCCCCTTCGGCTTCGTCGGTCGTCGCCGGCCGTCGTCGACGATCGGTCGAAGGTCGATCCACCGAGACTCGGAGTTGGAGTTGGAGTTGGAGTCCCTGGACGTAGTCCTTCCACTCATCACCTGCACCCCTTCAGGGCTTTACGAGCTAATTCCGCTTTACTGTATACTTTGGGCCATTGCCCCAACTTAATCAAACGAAGGTATTCACTCCTCGTCGCTGTGGGGCGGGGGACACAGGCCTTCCCGAGGCCGCAAAGCTGCTGGTCCCCATACATCCCACAACTCGCACAAAACCAAAGCATTAAATCGGCGTGAAACCTCATACAATGGGTGGGGTCCACAAACCCCCCAGCAGTGTGAATGGTGGCCCCCTCAGGAAGTGCACGAAGGGAGCAATCAAGGGCAACTAACCTGAAACACGGAGACTTACGCCAGACCGGGACGCGCGCAACCGACGCGGACCCACGGCACCGCAGACAACGCCGACCACACTCCGACAGGGCATGGCTCGTCTCAAAGGCCGACAGAATATTCTGACACGGAGGCGGGGGAGGGGGCGGAGGGTCGGCAGCAGCAGCAGCAGTAGGCTCACCTATCACCACGGCTTCCCTCCGTCCCCGAGCTCCTCGCCTCGGGTGCCGACCGTTCGGCGGGGTCTCCTGCAGCGTCTTCTCGGCCTCCATGGCGTCGAGGTGCGACCTGAGAATCCTCATGCGGATAAGGTACAGCACCCTTTCCTTTTCCAGAATGTCGGTGCGGACAGCTTCGGGTATGCGGGCGATGGTCGCACCTTCACCCGCCAAGGTGTCCGCTGCTGCATTGCCAACCGTCATCCAGGAAGAGCCCGCTCGATGCACGACATCCTCGGCCTCCAGGTGCGAGTTCGTAAATAATACTGTCACATGCTCAAGCCGCCTTCCCGTGTTATGAAACAACAACCCTATCTTCGCCCACAACTCAGCGTGCTCTCCAGTTGGATGACGATATTTCTGAGACCACCAACCTTCGTGCACCATCTGGTTGTCTGTCACATACGTTACATATTGTTCCGTCAGCCGCAAGGCTACCCAGAAGATATACAGCTCACCTCTGGGTACCGTCTGGACAACACCTGGGAGAGCTCCAAAGATGGATACCTGCAGCTGGAGGTCCGTTTCGCTTACCATCTGTGCGAGACCGAGACCAATACGTCTGAACCTCCCATCCGATGAGTCCGCCCCGCCGCTGGCATCGCCAAAAAGCAGCACTGGTCTGGCACACTCACCTGGACCAAGGACTCCATCAACAACACCATCGTTGAGCCCCGTCTGGAACCAAGCCTCCTCATCAGGTGGCTCAGGTACCGCGGTCCACTGTGCTGGCATGGCTCCACGGAGCCAGTACGCTGGGGCAGCCTCATGTTGAGAGGCAGCTTGCATATACACCTCGTCCGACTTGGTATAGATAGGGTGATTGACGTTGTGCTCGCATTCCCATGTTCGATGAAAAGATGACTCATTGCGTCTTTTGCAGCGAGGACACAGCGCACACACTTGGACCTTGGTGGAGGCGTCAGCTCGACGGAGCCTCGGCCACGACCCTCCAGCAACTACCGTCGATAATAACTCAGAAAGCCTGCGCCCTCGTGGAAGCTGCTCCAGGTGCTTCAGAAGCCGCTGCAGAGATACAACATCCATGCCTTGCCCAAGACCTTCCCCACAGAAATGCTTCTCAGCGGAAGCCCACACGAGCCTCTCCGACGATCTGTTACAATCCAGGAAAAAAAGCTTGGTGTCGTTTAAAGCCGAGATGTCCGAATACCCTGCTTCTGGAAACCTCCACTCCGTACCGTCTGCCATGATCCAGCACACTGGTGATACTGGGTCCCATCCCCGTTCAAGAAGAGTCAAAATCGCCGTAGACATCGGGCCCCTCACCCACCTAGAGCGCTGATGTGGAGGCAAGCTTTTGAAATGCCCGACAACCCGCGCCCACGCCTTGTGCACGCGCCCTCGAATCTCTGGACGGGCAAACCACTGCTGGAGCCAAAGGTGCAGGGATTGCTGAGGATACCTGATTCCAGGATCAAGCCCAGGCGCTTTAATGGCAAGCGTGGACACCAGACGCCGACCGCGGCCCCCAGACGAAACAGCGGCAGCCAGACTCCTCCGAAAGGATACAAGACGTTGGCCGAAGGTGCCGTGGAGCTCCTGCCCGTAGTTGCCTGCTGCCTGTGCTCCGAGCCGTTCGAGCCTGGAAGTGATAGTATACTGACGTGAAGCGCGCATACCGAACGACACGAGCATGCATACGTCCGTGTTTGGCCACTCTCTTAGTACGCGTAGCCCGAGCCGTCCTTCTGCCTCCCCCCTGGTCAATCCCGAGATAGGCACCCTGAAGTTGCGGCCGAACAATGAACCCTTGAACTTTCAAACGTTTGGCGATCTCCTTGGCATCCCCGTGGAAGGAACAAATCACGATCGGCTTCGGCGAGACATCCAAGTGCCACTTAGCCAGCTCATTAAAAGTGGCCCCCAGACACGCAGTTACCCCCTTGACGACCGACTGCCTGGACCCCGACATTCTCTGCGATAAATCGTCGATCCATATACGATGGCCGAGAGCAGGATGGGTACGAGAGATACGAGCCAACACATAATGGGTCATACACTTCGCGAATCTTGTGCCCGACCTGAGCCCCTGGATAATACTACGATCGACGAGGAATGGTTCGCATACAGCTCCGAATTGCTCCAACGTGCGCGCCGCTACACACTGGGCCAGTTCCATATATAATGCTACTGGAGGAAATCCCATGCGAAGAGCCGCGAAAACCAAGAGATCCCATTCGATACCGTCGTAGAACCCTTTAATATCTAACATACCGTGCCCAGTCGGGAGCTTCATCCACCCCGCAATCTCGTCAGCTAACGTGCAGTGAAAGGCTTCCACCAGAGAACTATTACCCTGTATGGCTGCATCCCACTCCGTCTCCACAAGACTGCACCAATCTCTGACTTGCTGTTCGCGGATCCCAGACCAGACGCGACCTATCATCGATATGAGCCCAATGACACGATTTCCTTCCACCTTCTTCGGTGACAATTTTCCGATAACCAGTTGCGTCTGATGAGGCCACGTGAGTGTAGCTTCGCATACGTTCATCAGCTCCGCAAGCTCCTCAAGACCAGCCTGCGGAAGCCTCTCCACATCGAGCGGAGAGAGACGATCTGCACCTAGTCCTGTCTTGGCACGCATGCGATGAGCCATACTACGCACTTGATCCGCAGTGATGGGCTCCATGAGCTCGTCACGCGCCGCCTCCTTGATGGCAGCAAAGGCTTCGGCAAGTCGTTCCTCTTGGGACGCGCCAGCAAACCCAATGCGCTCTAACCCTGCCGACGCATCACATGGAGAATCCGACAAAACCTTGGCAACGTGAGAAACGCATGGGCTCGAGGAGCACCCAGCGCTCTGCTCTGACGCCCCAGCAAAACATGGCTTGGCCAGAGGGGCCTCCGACAAAACATTGGCGACTTGCGAGACGCATGGGCTCGAGGAGCACCCAGCGCTCGGCTCTGACGCCTCGGCAAA